TGACCTGGCTGGCGCTTGAGCGTGTCTTGAAGGGCAAGTCAACAAGTGTGGGTGCATCTGTCGGTGCTGTTGCAGGCCGGGGTATCACTGCCGGTGTAGATCACGGTGAAAGAGTCTAAGAGGGTTGCTGATTCACTATTGCGCAGTGGGTTGCTTGCAGTTTGGTTTTGGTTCTTCACTACAAGAATCCCTTCATGCTGAGTAGACTAGACATCAAACATGCAATCGTGAACGGGCAGCCTGGCATGCACGTGGAAGTTTGAAGGATCTCTGCCTGTGTGAGCCAGGTCTGGTGGTCATCACACCCGCAGCCGGCTTTGTGACACCTGGCTGGAGCATTGCCATTGGTGCCTTGGGAGCTCCCTGGTGTTACCTCACTGTTGAGGCGGTGAACAGGATCAAGCTGGTGGATGACACTCTTGACGCCTTCGGCTTGCACGGCTCTGGCGGCTTCGCCGGTGCCATCTTGACGGGCATCTTTGCAGTTGACGAAGGCCTCATCTACAGTGGTAGCTTCGTGCTGTTGGGCAAGCAGATTGCTGGTGCACTGGCTGGCGTGGCTTTCTCCGCAGTGGGCACTGCCATCATCATGGGAGTCATGAAGATGCTCTTCAAGCTTCGAATTCCAGAAGACCAAGAGCTTGGCGGTGTTGACGAGCACACTCACGGCGAGAGTTACCACAGCCCAGTTAAGAGGTATGCCCCAGGTGGCCGCATGACTGAGTCCGAAACATCAAAAGAGTCCGACACTGTCTGATGAGCTTGGAGAACATGTGCAACTTGCATTCAAAACAATGCTGCGATGTCAGCTATCTCTTGCTTAATTCGTTGCAGTGTCCAGGTGAATGGACACCCACTTATGTGATGGAAGCGACAAGTGCTTCTGTTTTAGTCACTTTAGTCCGCATTGGTTGGAGACCTTGCGGAAGACACTAGCAAAGGGCCAACTGATGAGCAAACACAGTGCCAGCTGGCCGTGAGGAGAAAATTTCACGCGGGGGTTCAGACTTTAGCATGCCCTGCACTCCATACATGCCAAGCTCGACAACCCAGACGCCTTAAAGATCTTAAACCCCCAATACCCTTCGATGCCGCAAGAGCTTGCGCCCCTAAGCCTTTAAAGCCCGGGGCCCAAAGTCCCTGCGAGCCCCGAGCACGACCACAGCGGAAGAAGCGAGCTATGGTCCTCCTTCCTTGGAGAAACTCTCAAAGTTTTAGGGTTTTAGAGTTTAGGGCTTAGGGGTTTTAGGGTTTAGGGTTTGTGGTTCAGGGTTTTGGGTTCACGATTTTGGGCGACGAGGTACGGTTTCACTAGGCTCCTGGGCCGACTCATGCGCTTAGGGTCAGCTCTGGCCAGTGTCGTAGTAATTTGTAACACCCTGTCGAGCTATGTCTACCTGTTGTGCTACATTCCCGATGGCCTCATGCTGATTTTTTTGGGACCCAGCTGTGGGAGTTTCAGACCCCAGGGGACCGGAATATAAATCCAACCAGTGCTATCTGCAGATAAACAGATAGATAGACAGGAAGATATAGGTAGATAGACAGATATGGATAGATATGCAGAGGTCTTGATAGATATAAATAGGATAGGTAGGTAGGTAGGTAGATAGATAGACTTCCACCAGTAGGAACCTTTCTGCAACCCCTCCCCCCAGCAACCCAGATCAAGCCCGGTGGTCCCTCAGCGAAGAGATCCTGAAACCTTAATCATAAACCCCTTAAAACCCTAAACCCGCCACCGCTACACCCTTCCCTCAAGCCACAAAAAGCCGTAAACCCTTGAAGCCTAAACCCAAAACCCTAAACCCTAAGCCCTAAACCCTAAACCCTTGAAGCCTGAACCCAAACAGGTCTGGCCGGATGGCAAGACGAGCAACCAGGCACGCATCCCGGGCGCCAAGCGCCGTCTGGGCCCCGCTTCTTCGAGGTTTCGGGCTCTTGGCCGGTTAGGGGCTTCAAGATTCAAGACATGGCAGAGTTGTGGGGCATAGGAGACTGAGGTCAGGTGGCGGATCTAAGTGGAAACTGTTACCAGTCACTGGGGCTGTAGCATGCGCAGTTTCGGCTTTCGGGTTCGGGGTTTTCTCCGTTCGCTTCGTTCTTTTGAGAGTGCGGGAAGTAGGTCGGCCCGGATCACCGGTATCAGTCGTCAGCTAAATATTCTTTGCCGACCTTGCGAAAAATCTTCTGCGGTCGGGCCGGCGTCTGTGCAACTCAGGTAGTAATATGGGGGTCTGAACAGTTAGAACAGGGTTTTGGGGAATGTTATACATGAGTAGTATTGGTAATTATCTAGGCCCCTTTATTGGTACTCTTCTTGTCACGATTCGTGTTGCAGGGACTCTAGGCATCGCAGGTGACGTTACTTACTTTCGCTTCGAGTGTGGCAGGTATCGTGAAGCAGCAGAAGATAATCATTCATGTCAGCTCTGCGCATTGATGCAGTGTTTTGCAATCAAGCTGCGTCTTTGCCAATTGGCCGTTTCAGTGTCTCGTGCGCCTGTTGATGACGCAGCCACGTATCCGTCCTCTCCAAAGCCAGGAATCTGAATCGCCCGAAGCCTACTGCATCTGGGACATCCCGAAGCCCGAAGCCCTCAGCATCCGACCCTGCGGCCCGGAAGCAGAAACGCTTCACCCTCAAGCCGAGATGCAATAAGGTCGTGTATTTGCTTGTACCTCTCTACTTTACCATTGGCCCTAAATACTAAACACCAGGGCCTTTAAACCCTAAACCCTAAACCTTAAACCCTAAGCCCTAAATCTCAAACCACTTTAAACTGAAGCTTTGGAGATTGCTCTGCAGCCGCAGCCCCGACTGAGGGCCGGACGAGAACCAATTCCTGTGCGCGCGGCGAATCCTGAAAAGGCAGGTCTAATGTTCTTGTAATATAGGGTTTAGGGTTTAGGGTACGAGTCTGGATTTAGACGCCTTGGGTCTGTAGTAGGGTTCTTTGTGAACCCCAATATTTTCGGGTTAACCAGGTTCCTACATTCACTACAGCTATATACAGATTATGCCAGAATGTATGTACACGTGACACAGCACTTTTCCAGCGTTGTCGGCCCCTGTATACAAAATGGAAAGCCTGTAGAATTAGAAAACCCATTGCCTGGGATTCCTTTGCAAGAGCCATAATGCTACAACACACCCCCCAAAACCCTCTGCTAATTATTGAGGCCCTTGTACGAAAGCCTTACAGTAACCCTTGATGGAGCCCTTCTCTAGCAACCCTTGTCTGCTTTTTATAGCCTCTTTTGTAAGCCGGAAGTCTCCGAGACGAGGACCGGTAGTCTCTGTTTGACCCGTGCGAGGCAATTGGAGATCGACGAGAATGCCGTCCGGCTGGCGTGTTTTGCGGCCATGTGGTGGATGATGGGAGCCTCATAGACCTTGTTTTGCCCAGAAAGGGTGGCGTAAATGGCATTAGAACATGGCCAACGGCCCCATGCCGATGATTTTGGCCAGTGAGTTTTCTGGGAGGGGTCGTATCTGCAGAGTGGCATGCCTTGGAGCTTTACCGTGAGTCTTAGCTGCGGATCCCAAAGCCTCTCTCCACGGTAGTTAGGAGGCCGTATGGAACCGATGTGGTGCCCTTCCTAGGCTGTGCTTACACCAAAGCTTGTGCACACCTATGAATCGAAAAGGTAAGGACGAATGGGGTCGCGTAGAGGCAAGCGTAGGGCAGGTCGGCTTCAATCAGTGTGCAAGTGCTGGTACTGCCAGTTGGACCGTGGGTTTATGAAACTATTGGCATTCCTCATAGCTGGAAAGACTAGTGCGCAGCCACCCTGTCACCGTGTAAACGCAGTGTTTTCCGCTTCTTCGGCGATTCAGCGAGACAGGTTTCAGGTTCACATCCAACCAAGCCCCAAACCCTAAACCGTGAGGAACACTCGAAAGCCCCAGAACCCGACTCCCTTCGCTCGCAGCAAGCAGGTGCGAATCTCACAAGAGGTGGGCTACATCGAAGAGGATCGCAGCTCCAGGAGTCCTTTGAAAGAAAAAAAGGGTAGGGTTTAGGGTTTAGGGTTTAGCGCTTAGGGTTTAGGGTTAGGGCTTAGGGTTTAGTGTTTAGGGTTTAGGGCTTAGGGTTTAGGGTTTAGGGAGGGTTATGAGGGAATTTGGGGCAGGGGGTAGGTTTCCTCCTTCGGGAGGTTATAGGGTTAGATATTTTGTTTCATTCTCGGGCCTTTCTGAGGAGACTTATAGGCGTTCTGGCGTAGGATCTTCGGGTATTGGGATGAGGGTCTTCGGGCCCAAGCCGGGGCCGAAGATCCAGGAGCTCTCCTTTTTTTGCCGGAGCTCCATGCCCAAGATCCTGAAGAGTTCATCAGGGTTTCATGGGTTTAGGGTAAAGGGTTTTAGGATGGTTTCGGGTTCCTTTGCATTGTTCTGGATTTAATACAGAGGAAGGAATTGTTAGTTACAGGGACCCCTCCTATGGTTCAAAAACACGTATACCTTCGTAGTATACTGTACTGCACAACCCTACTTCACTTGTTACGGCCCCTAAATCACAAGTCTCCAGTTTGAGTTCAGAAACTAACCCTAAACCCCTGAACCCTAAACCCTAAACCCCTAAACCCCTAAACCCTGAACCCAAACCCTAAACCCGAAACCCCTAAACCCCTAAACCCCTAAACCCTACTTGTTCCCAAGCCGTGCGGGGCTGAGGTTACCCTGGCCTCAAGACGGTGCGGCCGCCAGCTCTTCCTCGGGGTCTAGAGGGTTTAGGGCTTAGGGTTTAGGGTTTAGGGTGTAGGGTTTAGGGTAGGGTTTTGGGGTTTAGGGTTTCAGGGTAGGGTGTTGGGGTTTTAGGGTTTAGGGCTTAGGGTTTAGGGTTCGGGAGTTGCCATTTTTGCCCTTTTTTTGAGTCCCAAGTGCGGGCGCAGGGGCGGGGGCGGGAAGCTTCGAGTGCGGGGTCTAAACACCTGGATAGCCTGATCGTAGGTTGGGAGTTCAAAGGACTTTTCCCATCTTCCGAGGATTTTATGAAGGGACCTATGCCCTCCCGTAAGATGAGAGCGGCAAAGATTCTAAGCCCAGAAACCTAGACGTTTGAAATCTGACCCCAAGCCCGAAACCCTTAGAGCTAAGGGTCACTACAAATTTTTTCCCTAGGACTACGTATAGCTGTTACTATGCGGGTACGACAGGTTTTATGAATGTGTGGATAGCTTTTCGCGGCGTGGTGTTGGGTTGTGTTTGAAGATTCTGTCTAGAGTCTAGAGCTTGCCGTCGGAGGATCTTTCCCGGGCGGTTTGCTGTCACTGCCATGTTTTAGCTGGTTGGCGTGGAGCCCGAATCCTTTCGCCCAGATTCCTGTAGCATTTACTTGTGCGCACATCGATAAAGCGCTGGTTGCCTTCTCTGCTGGATTAGTGGCCCCAGTCGGTGGTGCCACAGACCGTGGAAGCTGGCTTTCCAAGCACGACATCGAGGCATGAAGTGAGGAGAGCCGATGGAGACGGCGAACGCGGCGAGAAGATAGGTCTTGGCGAGTGGCGACAGAGTGTGAAGGTGATGTCTGCAGCTCTTGTCGGCTTGACAAGCAGGAGAGTCATATTATAAGCTCGAGATGCAGAAGCCAGGCAGCAGCCCCGAGCAATGCCCTCGCATTTATCCGCCTGCATCACAGATGCACTGAAGAAGGCACCTTTAGCGGCGAACCCAGCAAGAGCACGAGTTACCCGTAGTCACCGTAGACATAGATTCAAGGCTTTGGGCTAAAGATCTAGGGTTCAATTTTAAGGTTTCTGCATGGGGACGGATGGAGAAGGCTGACCAGACAAGACCTTAAAGGGGCCCTGGGGTTATATAGGGGCTTTATGAGACTATATAAGGGGTATATAAAGCTTATATAGGGGGTTGTTGAAGCCTCGAGCCAGGAGCTCGAAGCCCGAAGCTTCAAAGCGAGCGTTTGCTTTCGGTTTGTGTTCGGTGAAGGCAGTAGCCGCAGTTCTGGTTCTAAGGCGGCCCTTTCATGCAAGGTTTCGGTTATCCGAAGCCCCTAACGCCCTAAAGCCCAAGCCACAAGCTGAACCACCCAAACCCTAAACAGCCAAAGCCCTAAACCCTAGGCCCTAAGCCAAGGTCTACCGAAAACGCATCATCAAGGGAGAGGTCATTCCAGGCCCACCTGCTGCGTTCGGAGGACAGAGAGCCCCTCAGCCCCTATGCCCCAGAACTCGCAAACGGCCCTAAAGGGGGTTCAGGCTTTCGGGTTTCTAAACCCCAGACTCCAAACGGCCCTCGACTCCCTAAACCTCACGAGCCCGGGCAGTTCCTGAAGGGCCCTAGAGATTGGAGGCTGGGCTGCCTCTGGGGGCCCCCTTCCTCGAAGACCTAAGCACCAACCCTAGAACCGTAAACCGTATAAACCCTGAGCCCTAAAATCCTAAACCCTAAACCGTACTGAGCCCTAAAATCCTAAACCGCTCAAGCCGTAAACCTAAGCTCGGAACCCTGAGCACTAGGATCGGGCTTCGATGTGAACTCCTAAGCTCTAAACCGGAAAAAGGCCGCCTGAGCGCTACCGCTTCGGGATGTGACGGGCTATCTTAGGATCATCCCTAAACCCTAAACCCTAAAAGGCTTGGGGTTTCAGGATCAAGGGCCGCTTGACGCATCCAGCAGGCCGTGAAGCCCTAAACGTGGGGCCCCAACACCAGATCCTCCATTCCCGAGCCCCACAGACCCTCTTTATAGTAAGCCTTTACAGGTAAAAACTGATTCCCGAACCCCTTGGATTACACACCTCTGAAGCCCTCCTCCCCATGGCCATAGCACCAAAAGCCCCAAAACCCTCCGAAACCTGCCTCGCAAAGCGCCTTTTTGGGCGCAGGAGACGAAGCCCTCAGAGCCCTGGGGCACCTGAACGCCCACAACCCAAGAAGCCCTGGAAGGTGCATGAGACGAGGTTCCTCGGCCTTCTTTGGGTGTGGCGAAGTTCACAATTCTGGTCGAGGCTGGGAGAGGGGCCCCCTACGCCCTACACCCCAAACCCTAAACCCAACCCCTCTCACTTCCGAGACTCCCATGACCGCAAGAGTCCCGAACCGTTTTAGGCGTTCAGGGGCCGGGGAGAATCAATGCAACCAGGGGCTCAGCCCCGAGCTCTAAGTACTTAAACTCTCCCTATGCCCTTGGGGTGGATGCCCGAAGCCCCGCATCTGCAGGTGCCTCCGCAGCAAAGGCCTTGCATTTCTAGAATGTTCCGATCTCCAGCAGTCCGCAAACGCAAAGCTCAAGATTAGGTTTCGCAGTTGCCCGAGCTGGCAAGTTAAGCCTTAGGCTATCGTCCGAGGCTTCATACTACCTGCCCCCATGAAGACTATTGACAGCATAGTTAACCCGAAACCCTAAACCCTAAACCCTAAATCCTAAACCCTAAACCCTAAATCCTGAACCCTAAACCCTAAACCTTAAACCCTAGACCCTAAACCCTAAACCTATAGACCGGCATAGTTATCCGCCACATCCGCTGCTGAGCGCCCAGGTTCCGTAAAACCTACTTGGAGGGTCGGCGGACGTAGTACGTAGCTAGAGGTCTTATCAGTATTCGGGGTTAAGGGTTTAGGGGGTAAGTAGTTATTTTGTAGACTTATAAGCTTATAAGTATGTAGGGTTAGGGTTTAGGGGGTAAGTAGGTAAGTATCACAGCCCTCATTGGAGTCTCTTTTAGGATACTTCCTCCATGTAAACCACAAACTCTTATTGTCAAGGTTTCTACAGCACCTGACATCCGGAACCTCGAACTCCTGACCCCCCGACACGCCTCGGGGCAGATGACACCGTAAGGGCTTGCGGTTTTAGGGTTTGGGGGCAGGGGGAAAGGGTTCAGGGTTTAGGGGGTTGAGGGTTTACAGTGGCGACGGAGGGTGGAGGAAGGAAGCCCCGCAAGCACTAGGCCTCAGTCTTGCTGGCTAGCTTCCCAGGTAACGAGCATAAAGGATTGCAGATTCTCGCTCAGAACCGTCGAAGGTTTATAAGACAAGTCGGGGGACCAGTAGTGAAACTACAGCTGTCGTCTTCATGCTGCAGCCATGCTGCCACAACTAAGTGTGCCTTGTATGTAACCTGCTTCAGTAGCCAGCTTTGAACCCCCCAACCAAGCCCGAAACTACGGAGCGCGCTGTGACTGAAGTCCGGCATTTCGAGGTACACTAGCCTTTTCTGCCGTTTTTGCTGTTGATCCCCAAGGGCGGGCTAAGCATGCTGGATATCAGGTTAGATTGGTTTGCCTAAACCTGAAGGGTTGGCCTAACCTTGAGCTGAAATGAGGGCAGTCGCGCTGGAACAAGGAGGTTGGTGGCCGGCGGGCCTGACGCAGCAAGGCCCACCAGCCCTAAACGTTAAAGCCGTAAAGGCAACAGGCAGCCTTCGGTAACCGTGAAGCCCGAGTCTCTAAGCTTAAAATCCAAGCCCTGGGCAACCATGCAGCCGTCAACCCTGCAAGATTTCAGCCTCCTGACCCTCCTGGTCCTAAACCCTGGTGACCCTAGGGGTGCTAGCTTCCCACTCTCTAGACCCTATGTCCTAGAGCTAGGGCCTCAACTCCGGCAAACAACCTCCTGTGCCGTGCCTCTGTTCTCCGCTTAGTCTCTGCGGGAGACCGCGAGAGCAGGGCTGCAAGAAGTTAGGGTCCAGGCTTCGGGATTTACATATACATATATATATACACACACATACATACATTTATATTTATAGGGGTTTAGTCTTCAGGTCAGGGTTGTAGCGTGTAAGGTTGTAGATTGCACTGGCTCTTGTTGCTGCTGCTGCTCTTGCTCTTGCTCCTGAAGCCCCTACGGTAATCCAAGATCAATGTACGAAGCTAGTGCTTGTAAGCCTCGGATCCTAGAGTCCGAGTCGTCCTGGCACAGCACCGCAGTTCGTGGCAGCCTAGTTCAGCATCCAGTTTCGGTTGATAGCCTGTTTAAGGTGCAGTCGGGTTCAGTAAAACCCTGAACCCTAAACCCCAAGAGTTTACCGTTTCTTGCTGCCCTGCCATCTCCGGCCTCTCGAGTTAGCATGGGCCTCGTTGGGGGCCTCTTTCCTAAGTCAGGAAAGCCAACCCGCTGCGCTTTCGGAAGCTGGGGGTGGGTTCCAGAGTAGTGGGTGCAAAACTTTGAATCCATGACGCAAAGCCCTACATCCTTTACCTAAGCTGAAAAACACGGTTTACGATAGAGGCTCTGTATTGCTGTTGAACCTCTGATGTCGGTAATCTCGGGTTTTGGCTTCAGGTCGGAGGGTTCAAAGTTTTTCAAAGTTCAGAGCTCTGAATCCCGACCTGCGAAGCTGATTCTTGGCGTTTTGGCTTCATTATTCGGTCGAAGCGATCATCTGAATATGTTCTACGACCAAGAGACACAAAGAAACGCATTGGCAGGCTCTAAAGTTTCAGGGCTTGGTGCTGGCTTGGGGGGGTTGCGATATGCAGTACTGATGGTTTCAGTAGATATCAATCTTGATCACGGCGATGCTCGACATCGGAAGAGGACATCTCAAGTCTACGCGACAAAGCCACCCCCAGCCAGCCCAAAACGCTATACCCCAAAACCACAGTGCTAGCACATACTTTTTTCTTCTATTAAACAGTATATACTTATTTACTCTTATGTACCATTACATACTATGAGTGAGTTACTACTGCAGACAGAATCCTAAGTCAGAGCCAGAATCACTGGAGCCG